GGTCTCGATCTCTTGACCTCGTGATCCACCCTCCTCGCCCTCCCAAAGTGCTGGGATTACAGGCTTGAGCCCCCGTGCCCGGCGTAATAATTCTTGAGTAGCACAAAGAACTTGGTCTGTGTTTAATTGTCTTCCCTTGATGAAAAAATTTTTCTAACTTTTTTTTTTTTTGTATCAGGATCCAAATGCTCTCTATACATGCTTTTGGTAATATCTCTTAAGTGTCCAAGTCTCTTAACAGTTTCCTGTCTTTACTGGAGAAAACCTGGGATTGATCTTATGACCTGTATTTGGCTGATTGTATCATTGTGATATGTTTCACATGATTTTTAGCCCCCATCGTTTTTGTAAAGTGGTAGATTCAGGTTAATTTTACATATATGTGAACCTATATATGTATATATAGGTTCTTTTCTTTTTCTTTTTCTTTTTTTTTTTTTTGAGACAAGAGTCTCACCCTGTTGCCCAGGTTGGAGTGCAGTAGCACTATCTCAGCTCATCGAAACCTCTTGACTCCCAAGTGATTCTCCTGCTTCGGTTTCCCAACTAGCTGGGATTATAGGCATCTTGCCACCCCTCCTGGCTAATTTTCTTTCTTTTTTTTTTTTTTGCATTGGAATCTCACTTGGCCACCAAGGCTGGAGTGCCGTGCTGGTGTAATCTCAGCTCACTGCAATGTCCACCTCCCAGGGCCAAACAGTATGCCCAGCTAATTTTTGTATTTTTAGTAGAGATGGGGTTTCCCCATGTTGGCCAGGCTGGTCTCGAATCCTGGACCTCAAATGATCTGCCTGCTTTGGCTTCTCAGAGTGTTAGGATTACAGGCGTGAGCCACTGCACCCGACCGCTTTTTCTTTTAGACAAGAATATATCAGGAGATGCAGTGTGCTTCCTGTTGCATCATATCAGGAGGTACAAAATGTCAGGTTTTAAAAACTTTTGGTGATCATAAGTATCATCAGTGGGTTTGGCCATTGCAGTTTTGTCCATTCATCATGAAGTTCCCCATTAATCTTGCACCAAATGGTTTTTATGGGTTGAGAGCCATGGATGATAGATACCTGGATGAATTCAGTCATGGGGAACAATTGGAAGAATTCTAAATCCTTTAAAATGCAAGCCCAGGGGAGAAAACTCCCAGGAATTAATGTGTAATTTATTATTTTTATTTTTATTTTTGAGACAGTCTCAGTGTTGCCCAGGTTGGAGTACAGTGGCATCATCTTGGCTCACTGCAACCTCTGCCTCCCAGGTTCAAGCAGTACTCCTGCCTCAGCCCCCCCTACTAGCTGGGATTACAGGCACACACCACCATGCCTGGCTAATTTTTGT